AGTAAGTAAATCAAATTTGTCTCCACAATGCTCACACTTATATTTCATATCCTGTGTGTTTCTTTCCTCAGTCTCTATTTGAGCTGACATTTTGTTATACTGTTCCTATTTTAATATTTTTCATTCTTATGATCTCAATGTATTTTTCATTAGATATTTTGAACAGAAGACATCAGGAGGGATGTTTTCAGCAAAGCAAATACATCATTTCTTTCGTCATTAAACATTTTTCTTCTATCGGTTTTGGTCTGGAATTTCTTCTTTGCTGTGAAGTATGAAAATTAAATAACAATTAGTTTTGAGAAACATTGTTATCAAGATGGATGTGGCAAAAAAGATGCAATCGCACTGGCTGCACTCCGCCTGCATCTGCCCCTGGTACCTATAGTTCTAAGCCAGTGTAGGAATGTGGCCGAGTTGAGTGTGGCAGAGTTTGGCTTGTGGCCGAGTTGACTTTGGCCGAGTTAACTTGTGGCCAAATTTACTTGTGGCTGTAGCGGAAATCCTCTCTAGCAGTGGCCTACTACTACTAACTAAAGTAGCCTAGAGCATAAGGAGGCACAGTAGGCCTAAGCCCTATTGACAATAACATACTAGGCCTTAGACGCTGACTGCCAGGGTCCCCTTCACGTCACACAGGTATGTGCAGGTGGTACCTTGGGAACCTCGGAAGGCCCGGGAATTTTACGCGTTAGAGTAGCCGCGTTTTGGGGTGTGTACGCCGGTAAGTGGCGATGTACTTTAAAACGATGCCCCACATTGCCGGGAGGTGGTCAGGACTTTCACATGCGTGTGACCGTTTTAGAAATTACATCCCCGGCTAAGTCCCCGCTAGGACCGGGACTACAATTGACAAGTGCATTATGTTCTGCTTGACTGATCAGACCCAGATGATGCGACTACCGAGACAGATTTGGATTGGCATAGGCAGTACAGTACTTTGATGGGAAAACTAGGCCTACTTTTTTTTTTGGTCCGACTGCACGACGGGCAAAAAATGTTGCCTTTGTTCATTCTTTTTTCTTAGCCGGGGATGTAATTTCCAAAACGGTTACATGCATGTGAAAGTCCCGGCCACCTCCCAGCAATTTGGGGCATCGTTTTAACGTACATGCCCAGGTAAGTCTCCACCCCTTGCCGCGGTAGTCCCAGTAAAATTCCCCGCTAATAAATGATTGGATGATAAGACCTACTTGAATGTCTAGCCTAGGTATGAAATCGTAGAAGCACGTGAGAGCTTGGCAGGTGCTAGGCTAAAGATATGAGCTTGCTTGATGGAAGCACTACATGTGCGTATCACTAAGCAGATTTCCAGGGAAGTTTAGAAGTGGGAAAAAAAAAAAGGAGTGTATTGACAGATTGATCATAGAAAAAGAAAATAATTGATTGACTGATTTAGCCTATAGAATTTAATTACTCAATATCAAAACAGAAATTAGGCCAAAATAAGAAAATGAATACATTAGAAACAGATTTCCTTGCCTTGGCCCATGTACTGGCATTTTTTTGACGCAAACTAGTCAAATTCACGGTTCACAAATTTTCATGCAACACACTCACACGCTCCGCCACCTCGGCATTGTGTGGTTGGACTTTCAAATTTTATTATGAAATTTATAATGTGATTTATAAAAAATGAAATCATGGTGGTAAGCCTCAAGTACCGGTAGGCAATTTTTTAATTACCAAAACACACAGTAGTTGCTGACGGAATGCCTAAGCCTAGTGTAGGCTAGGTTGGACCAGACCCGGTTTGACAGCATTAGGTCTAGGCCTGCACACGCGTGGCTACTCTAACAATAACATGTAAAATTCCCCTGCCCTTCCAAGGCCTGTTGCATTTACAGGTAAATTTTAGGTACGTCCTGGCACTTCAGGGACACAACTATGTGGGCTAGTGCTCCGCTATGGCCCAAGGGGGGGGGGGAACTACAATTGACAAGGGCTTTTGTCACATAAAGTTTGATAGTGTATATAGGCCTAGACAAAGCTTACGCCTAGTATTTTAGTAGGCCAAGAGACACTAGACGATGAATGCCTCCTGCATGCTACACTACAGCACAGGCCGCGTGTACGGTGGGTGTACCATGGGAATAGCCTCTCCTCCTTCTACCAGAATAATAAATAATAAAATATCGCTAGGCCTGGGCCCTTATGTCCCTACCATTATTTTCCCCTTTCTCTCTCCAGACTCTGCTTTCCCATCGACAGCACCACCAACAACAACGAGAGCACCACCAAACCACTCAGTCAGGTCAGGGGTAAAGGCAACGAGGGTCAGGTCAGACAGGAAAATTTGTGTTTCGTAGGATAGTTTGGTAAAATTCATGAATTATTCATTTTCATCATCCTGCTAGAACATATTTTGCGCATGCGCTGTTTTCAAGTCTGTGTGTCGGCCTCAACATATTTACTTGAATGAGCTCCTCAACATGACTTGAATATGAGCAAACATTTTCAACTTTTGGTGTCCGTCTTTTAATAGTTTTATTAAGATATTAATTTTGTTGTCAAACTCATTCAAATACTGTAGATTTTGCAGATAGGCTGGGCTCTGTCTCTTATACACATCTAGATGTGTATAAGAGACAGGAGGCACAGTAGGCCTAAGCTCTATTGATACTGTCTCTTATACACATCTAGATGTGTATAAGAGACAGGTTCACATTCATATGGCTTCTGGCCTGTATGTGTTCTGAAATGTAATGTCAATTGTTTACTGTATTTAAATTTCTTTCCACAAATTTCACATTCATATGGCTTCTCATGTACACTCCAATGTCGTTTTAAGTCAAAATTATCTCTAAATTTCTTTCCACAATGTTCACATTCGCATGGTTTCTTTCCGCTATGTATCATCAAGTGTTTTCTCAATACACTACCATCCTTAAATTTTTTTCCACAATGTTCACATTCATATGGAGTCTCCCCTGTGTGTGTCCTCAAATGTAATTTTAAATTCCTATTTGTATTGAACTTCTTTCCACAATGTTTACATTCATATGGTCTCTCTCCTGTATGTATTCTCAAATGTGCCGCCACATGACTACCGTCCCTAAATTTCTTTCCACAATGTTCACATTCGCATGGTTTCTTTCCGCTATGTATCATCAAGTGTTTTCTCAATACACTACCATCCTTAAATTTTTTTCCACAATGTTCACATTCATATGGAGTCTCCCCTGTGTGTGTCCTCAAATGTAATTTTAAATTCCTATTTGTATTGAACTTCTTTCCACAATGTTTACATTCATATGGTCTCTCTCCTGTATGTATTCTCAAATGTGCCGCCACATGACTACCGTCCCTAAATTTCTTTCCACAATGTTCACATTCGCATGGTTTCTTTCCGCTATGTATCATCAAGTGTTTTCTCAATACACTACCATCCTTAAATTTTTTTCCACAATGTTCACATTCATATGGAGTCTCCCCTGTGTGTGTCCTCAAATGTAATTTTAAATTCCTATTTGTATTGAACTTCTTTCCACAATGTTTACATTCATATGGTCTCTCTCCTGTATGTATTCTCAAATGTGCCGCCACATGACTACCGTCCCTAAATTTCTTTCCACAATGTTCACATTCATAAGGCGTCTCTCCAGTATGTGTCCTCAAATGTCGCTTCAACTGACCCTTACATTTAAATTTCTTGTCACAATGTTCACATTCATATGGCGTCTCTCCGGTATGTGTCCTCAAGTGTATTTTTAAAGCGCTACAAACTTTGAACTTCTTTCCACAATGTTCACATCGGAATGGTTTCTGTACTGTACGTATCATCAAGTGTTTTCTTAATCCACTACTATGTTTAAATTTCTTTCCACAATGTTCACATTCATGTTGTGCCTCTCCGGTATGTGTTCTCAAATGTACTGCCAAATCACAATTATGTTTAAATTTCTTTCCACAATGTTCACATTCATGTGGCCTCTCTCCCGTATGTACCCTCCCATGGCATTTCAAATCATAATTATCTCTAAATTTCTTTTCACAATGTTCACATTTGTACAGTGTCTCTCCTGTATGTATCATTAAATGATTTTTTAAAGACAAATTGCTTGTAAAGGTTTTTCCACAATGTTCACATTCAAATTTGACATGTTCACACTCAAATTGTGTTTTTGTCTTAATCCCCAAATGTGTCTTTAAAGTAAGTAAATCAAATTTGTCTCCACAATGCTCACACTTATATTTCATATCCTGTGTGTTTCTTTCCTCAGTCTCTATTTGAGCTGACATTTTGTTATACTGTTCCTATTTTAATATTTTTCATTCTTATGATCTCAATGTATTTTTCATTAGATATTTTGAACAGAAGACATCAGGAGGGATGTTTTCAGCAAAGCAAATACATCATTTCTTTCGTCATTAAACATTTTTCTTCTATCGGTTTTGGTCTGGAATTTCTTCTTTGCTGTGAAGTATGAAAATTAAATAACAATTAGTTTTGAGAAACATTGTTATAAAGATGTATGTGGCAAAAAAGATGCAATCGCACTGGCTGCACTCCGCCTGCATCTACCTCTGGTACCTATAGTTCTAAGCCTGTGTAGGACTGTGGCCGAGTTGAGAGTGGCAGAGTTTGGTTTGTGGCCGAGTTGACTTTGGCCGAGTTAATTTGTGGCCAAATTTACTTGTGGCTGTGGCGGAAATCCTCTCTAGCAATGGCCTACTACTACTAACTAAAGTAGCCTAGACCATGAGGAGGCACAGTAGGCCTAAGCTCTATTGATAATAACATACCAGGCCCTAGACGCTGACTGCCAGGGTCCCCTTCACATCACACAGGTATGTGCAGGTGGTACCTTGGGAACCTCGGAAGGCCCGGGAATTTTACGCGTTAGAGTAGCCGCGTTTTGGGGTGTGTACGCCGGTAAGTGGCGATGTACTTTAAAACGATGCCCCACATTGCCGGGAGGTGGTCAGGACTTTCACATGCGTGTGACCGTTTTAGAAATTACATCCCCGGCTAAGTCCCCGCTAGGACCGGGACTACAATTGACAAGTGCATTATGTTCTGCTTGACTGATCAGACCCAGATGATGCGACTACCGAGACAGATTTGGATTGGCATAGGCAGTACAGTACTTTGATGGGAAAACTAGGCCTACTTTTTTTTTTGGTCCGACTGCACGACGGGCAAAAAATGTTGCCTTTGTTCATTCTTTTTTCTTAGCCGGGGATGTAATTTCCAAAACGGTTACATGCATGTGAAAGTCCCGGCCACCTCCCAGCAATTTGGGGCATCTTTTTAACGTACATCCCCAGGTAAGCCCCCACCCCTGGCCGTGGTAGTCCCAGTAAAATTCTTGAATGTCTAGCCTAGGTATGAAATCGTAGAAGCATGTAAGAGCTTGGCAGGTGCTAGGCTAAGGATATGAGCTTGCTTGATGGAAGCATTACACGTGCGTATCACTAAGCAGATTTCCAGGGAAGTTTAGAAGTGCGAAAAAAAAAAGGAGTGTATTGACAGATTGATCATAGAAAAAGAAAATAATTGATTGATTGATTTAACTGATTTATCCTATAAAATTTAATTACTCAATATCAAAACAGAAATTAGGCCAAAATAAGAAAATGAATACATTAGAAACAGATTTCCTTGCCTTGGCCCATGTACTGGCATTCTTTTGACGCAAACTGGTCAAATTCACGGTTCACAAATTTTCACGCAACACACTCACACGCTCCGGCACCTCGGTCCTCGGCATTGTGTGGTCGGAATTTCAAATTTTATTATGAAATTTATAACGTGATTTATAAAAAATGAAATCATGATGGTAAGCCTTAAGAACCGGTAGGCAATTTTTTAATTACCAAAACACACAGTAGTTGCTGACGGAATGCCTAAGCCTAGTGTAGGCTAGGTTGGACCAGACCCGGTTTGACAGCATTAGGTCTAGGCCTGCACACGCGTGGCTACTCTAACAATAACATGTAAAATTCCCCTGCCCTTCCAAGGCCTGTTGCATTTACAGGTAAATTTTAGGTACGTCCTGGCACTTCAGGGACACAACTATGTGGGCTAGTGCTCCGCTATGGCCCAAGGGGGGGGGGGAACTACAATTGACAAGGGCTTTTGTCACATAAAGTTTGATAGTGTATATAGGCCTAGACAAAGCTTACGCCTAGTATTTTAGTAGGCCAAGAGACACTAGACGATGAATGCCTCCTGCATGCTACACTACAGCACAGGCCGCGTGTACGGTGGGTGTACCATGGGAATAGCCTCTCCTCTTTCTACCAGAATAATAAATACTGTACTGTAATAAAATATCGCTAGGCCTGGGCCCTTATGTCCCTACCATTATTTTCCCCTTTCTCTCTCCAGACTCTGCTTTCCCATCGACAGCACCACCAACAACAACGAGAGCACCACCAAACTACTCAGTCAGGGGCAGTGTGACCACTCACAATTGATATAGGGCCTACCCAATGTCTGGGGGTCGAAATTACCCAAGATTCAGCAAAAATTGCCCAAAATTACCCAAGCTTCCTGAAAATGCATTAAAATTTGAAAAATACGTGTTTTTCGCATGTATAGTTTCCCCTTTAGTTTAATTTATAAACCAATTTTTTATTGTAATTTTTTGTGTTAATTATTAAAATTAATATTCATGAGGTGATAATACAGATAGAAAAATACGCCCTCAGACGGCCAGTGTTATCAGTAGATCAGTGATCAAGTTTTATTATGTAATGCATTAATTAGGTAAGATCAATGGCAACACAAATCACAAATAAACAATTCTGAACCCATGTTTATAGCAATTAACAGTCAATTAACAATGTTATGTGCACTTCGTTGAGTTTTGCTTACTTGAATGGACTGAAATATACTTTGTTACTTCTTAATTCTTCCTCTATGACAAAAATATTTAATTTTCTTAGTAAAAATAAAATACCCAAGGATTTGAACGAAATACCCGAGACCAAGTCAAAATACCCAAGATCTTGGGTAAATACCCAAGCAGTGGTCACGCTGTCAGGGGAAAAGGCAACGAGGGTCAGGTCAGACAGGGACGCAAATTTGTGTTTCGTAGGATAGTTTGGTAAAAGTCATGAATTATTCATTTTCATCCTGCTAGAACATATTTTGCGCATGCGATGTTTTCAAGTCTGTGTGTCGGCCTCAACATATTACTTGAATGAGCTCCTCAACATGACTTGAATATGAGCAAACATTTTCAACTTTTTGGTGTCTGTCTTTTAATAGTTTTAAGATATTAATTTTGTTGTCTCAAACTCATTCAAATACTGTAGATTTTGCAGATAGGCTGGGCTTGTGCAAAATACGAATTGTTTTTGAGTCTACCCCCTCGGGGGCAAAGGCACTATGCTGTCATCTGGCAGCTAAAGACGGCTGAAAGGGTAAATCCGATTTTATAAGAACAAGGTCAATTTCGGAAACAAGTTCTTTACTCAAAATAGTAGATAAGGAATTGAATGAATTAATCTGTAAAAGGCACCAGGTCTTGGTGAAGTTTCGTGTACAGTGGATGTTTACGTGACAGCGCTAGTTTTATAAAAAAAAAAAGCATACAACTTTTTTTGTAAATTTGTACATAACTACAGGGAGTGTCCCAGCTGATTTTAAAAATGCTAAAGTGTTTCCAACATTTAAAAATAACGATCGCACTGATCTAAATAATTACTGTCCCATTAGCATTTTACCCGCCATACTGTAGCTATCTAGGTTTCAGCTCTATAAAATGGTTTAAATCTTGCCTTTCGAACAGACGCCAGTTATCTGAAAATCCGTGTTCGGACGTAAACTCAAATACATGTGTAATCTAATACATAATAGCCTTGGGGCTAATTCCGACGGCCGTTCGGACGAGAAGAATAAGAACCGGTAAGCGAAACCAGTAACTTCTCGTATGTCTTTCCTTCAACCAAGGTCAGACAAGTTTTTTAGCAATATTTTTGTTGTTAATGAGGCTATGTTCATTTGGTACATTTGCCTAGTAGAGACTGCTCAGTAAAAGCAATGTGAAAGTCAAGTGAAGAAAATAAACGGATATATTTATTATTATTTATTACTGAATCTCAATATATTAATTCTCTTTATTAGTGATCTCAGATACATATCACATGCCAATAGTGAATAACATTCAAATTCATATTGATTTTGACCAAATGCTATTAATCACATGCATTTAAATTTCATTTACTATCAATAACTATATATTTATATCATAGAAATCAATCAGTATCATATACACGATTTCATTAATTAATTAAATTCAGCATACATAACAATCAATATATGATGCAAACTATCTCATTTATAGTACATAACATATACCATGGAATCAATCAGTATATCATGCAAACGATCTCATTTATAGTTAAAATTTAAGATCATGTAAACTACAGTATTTCATTCATGATTCATTCAAATTATAGAAATCTGTATATCATGCAAAATATTTCAAGTATCTCATGCTTGCGTGTTTTCCGACAGTCCATCACTTGTAATTAATGATACAGCAATATTGTAGGCTTTTATGCATTTTCACTGTTTCTCTGGAACCAACTTCCCACCGTCATCGTCACTGTATGCTCCAACTCTTTCTCAATTCAAATTTCATCTTAAATTTTTTCCATAGTTTTAAGCGCTGCTTGACTCTGGTAAAGAGTGCTACATAAATTCTAATATATTATTATTTAACACGAATACAATATGCGCCCTGCGATAAGTACTTCATTTTCCCCATACCGTGTTCAACAAACCAAAGAATGAATAAAAAGAAAATCTGTTATATATGAATGAAAGTTGCACCTGTATGATTTTGCAAATAATATTACTACCTAACAGGTAAAAATAACCAATAATGTCTTTCATTACCTTAACTATATGCTTGAAAGATTAAATTTTGTTGAGTCTTAAAAGGGATTCAATTCTAATGTGACATCCTTTATGTATATTTAGAACCTCACTACTGTATCTCTAAATTTCTTTCCACAATATTATTACAGTACTCACATTCATATGGTGTTTCTCACATTTATTTTGTATCATTAAGTGTTTTCTCAATACAGTACCATCCTTAAATTTCTTGTTCACATTCATGTATTTTTACACCCCACTATTTCATTCATTCATTTGTATATAGAGTACAGTATTTCCATTTTTTTCTTTCTTCAAACACATACAGAAATATTAAACATAACATTTCATTACAGTACATGTTGATACACATTACAAATATTAAAATAATAAAATTCAAATTTAAAGAAAAGAAGAAATGGGGAATTTCTATTAATTACATAAATGAACCCCTATACAAAAATAGTACAGTAATTTAATATAAATATACAGGCACTACGGCACACAAAAAATAGAGTAACCTTTTTTAATATAAATTAAAAATTTCACTTAAGATCTAACATTTATGATTTCTATAATATAATATAATAAATATTTTCAATGATTTTTTTTAATACATTGAATATTTATAATATAAAAACTGAATATATTCTTTATACTGTATGTCTTCTAAAATGTATTGTCAACTGGTGACTGTATTTAAACTTCTTTCCACAATGTTCACATTCATATGGCTTCTCACCTGTATGTACCCTCCAATGTCGTTTCAATTCATATTTACCTCTAAATTTCTTTCCACAATGTTCACATTCATATGGTGTCTCTCCGGTATGTATCATCAAGTGTTTTCTCAATATACCACCGTCCTTAAATTTCTTTCCACAATGTTGACATTCATATGGAGTCTCTCCTGTATGTGTTCTAAAATGTCTTGTCAACTGGTTACTGTATTTAAATTTCTTTCCACATTGTTCACATTCATATGGAGTCTCTCCTGTGTGTGTCCTCAAATGTCTTGTCAACTCGTTACTGTACTTAAATTTCTTTCCACATTGTTCGCATTCATATGGAGTCTCTCCGGTATGCATTCTCAAATGTACCGTCAACTGACTATCGTCCTTAAATTTCTTTCCACAATGTTCGCATTCATGTAGCTTCTGGTCTGTATGTACCCTCCAATGGCGTTTTAATGTACCACTACGTCTAAATTTCATTCCACAATGTTCACATTCATATGGTGTTTCTCCTGTATGTATCATCAAGTGTTTTCTCAATCCACTACTGTCTCTAAATTTCTTTCCACAATTTTGACATTCATATGGCATCTCTCCAGTATGTATCCTCAAATGATATTTTAAAGACCAACTGCTTTTAAATGTTTTTCCACAATGTTCACATTTGTACGGTGTCTCTCCAGTATGTACACTCAAATGTACTTTTAAAACCCTATTTTCCTTAAACTTCTTTCCACAATGTTCACATTCATATGGCATTTCTCCGGTATGTGTCCTCAAATGCACTTTTAAAGCACTAAAATCTTTAAATTTCTTTCCACAATCGTCACATTTACATGGTTTTTCTCCTGTATGTATCATCAAGTGTTTTCTTAATCCACTACGGTCCTTAAATTTCTTTCCACAATGTTCACATTCATATGGTGTCTCTCCGGTATGTGTCCTCAAATGGACCGTCAAATGACCACTGCGTTTAAATTTCTTTCCACAATGTTCACATTCATATGGCGTCTCTCCAGTATGTATCCTCAAATGATATTTCAATGACAAACTGCTTTTAAATGTTTTTCCACAATGTTCACATTCAAATTGCACATGTTCTTGTTCAAATTGTTTATCTGTCTTAATCCCCAAACACTCAAATTGTGTTTTTGTCTTAATCCCTAAATGTGTCTTCAGAGTAAGTAAATCAAATTTTTCTCCACAGTGCTCACATTTATATTTCATATCTTGTTTGCTTCTTTCCTCAACCTCCATTTCAGCTGATATTTTGTTAATACTGTACTGTTCTTATTTCAATGTATTTTTATTTTTTCATGAGGTAAATTGTGAACTGAAGACATCTGAAAGGGCGTATTTCAGCACAGTAAATATAATTTCTTCTGATTTTGACGTTACCAGTATGATCTGGAATTCCTTTCTTTGCTGTGAAATATAAAAAATTACCTTTGATAACATTTATTATCAAGATGGATGAGGTTACAGCACATAATATAAGAATAGTCAAAATGCCTAACTACTGAGTGATAGACTCATGTACAGTAAGTAGGCCTAACAAGGGCTCCTCAGTCTTAATCCCCAAATGTGTCTTCAAAGTAAGTAAATTAATTTTTTTTTTCTCCATAATGATCACAAACATACTTTATATCCTGTTTATTTCCTCAATCTTTTCTTGAACTGCCATTTTGTATTAATATAGTCTAATATTTCAAAGTATATTTTTACATTTGTTTATCATACAGTACTGTATGTATTGTGAACATACAGTGAGACATCAGGAGAAGGGATGGTTTTCAGACTTTCCATTACTTGCTGTGAAGTATGAGAATGAATGTCTGTCAATAAATGTTAATAATTTATAAACTCAAAATCCTTTGTTTAAAAATCCTTATTAATCATCTGTATTCAGAAAGTATGGCATCATGGGAGAAAGCACTAAAAAGGGCTAAGCACACATATTTGATGCTTATGTTGCAAAAGCACTGAAAAGGGATACCCAACAGTTAAGACCATTTCACGAACCAGAAATTTTTACAAAGGCGATTATGATAAAATGAGAGATTATTTAATAAATGCAACATAATATCGATAATATCGCAAACCCCCAAAAAACACCGCAAACCCCATCCAAACCTTGTGATAGTGATTGAATCATGTAGGCTTTGCAGAGCTTGTTTTGGAGTTGCTTCTTGATATTTTTGTAATTATTTTAGCTGCCCGGTTTTGGAGAATTTGGAGCTTTTGCTTTGAGTTTATTTGAATGTCCCCAGATAATATAACCTCTGCAAAGTCTTACCTTTTACATGGTCTATCTGAGAGCACAAGGAAAGATTTTTATCTATAACTACAGTACACCAAGATGTTTGCAACTGTCTACATAAGTGATAGACTCTCCATTTATATTAATTTGTGTATCAGATATTAGATAGCTTTTGCCTAGTGCCTATTATCATATATTCAGTTTTCTTTATATTCAAACTTAGTTTATTAGATATGAGCATCTTTTAATGTTTATCATATCATTATTAATTGTTTCTGTCAGATGCTCAATTTCTTCATCTACTGTATGTAATAAATTGCAGTATCATCAGCATACAGTGCCTGTACATGGAGACTGTAGATTTACAGACAACCGTGGGTAGATCATTAACGTATAAGAGGAAGAGCAGAGGTCCTAGAATTGACCCCTGTGGGTTTCCACAGGTGCTGTAGCATTCTTCAGAGTTAGCCCCACTTACACTAGTAATATGAATACGGTTTTGGAGATAGTTATTGAACCAGTTGATAACATTTTCATGAAATGGAAGGATTTAAGCTTCTCGATTAGAATATTATGGTTTACGGTATCAAAAGATTTCTTTAAGTCAATCATTACAAGCCCTATATATTTTCCTTATCGATAGCATTTAGCCAGTCTTTAGTTACATTTACCAATGCGGTGGAGTATCCTGGTCTGAAGCCAGATTGATTTTCATACAGCATGCCATTATAGTTTAAGAAAGGATAGATTTGCTCAAAAACAGCTCTTTCAATTGTCTTTGATAATACCGGGAGGACTGAAATTGGTCTGTAATTTGTACATTCATTTTTTTACCACCTTTGTGAATTGGACAGATTCTAGCTTTTTTCCAATTTTTAGGAAAAGTTGAAGTTAAAATTGACAAATATATAATAAAAGTTATGGGATAGACAATAATATCAATGACAATTTTGATGAGATTGTCCGGTATTTCATCAGCTCCTGTGGCTTTTTTGGATGAAAGAGAATTTAGTAGTTTATGGACAAATTCTACATCAGTTTCGAGAATAAATTTGTCAATTTATATTATTATTATTATAGTTAACATGTTGGTCAACCTCTGGTATATCTTTTGCTAGCGTAGGACCAATATTTGCAAGGTATTGATTTAATGTAATTGCAATATCTTTGCTTTGGGATTAGTTTTATTAATGAGACAGGCTGTAGTTGGCATCCCAAGCTTCGTAAACAGAAGATCCAACTTATCCGTGCATAGTCAATTATGATAACCACATTACATGACATCATTCTAGTGTTTATAATATTCAACATAATATTCGGTTACATAAAAAGGATAATATAAAATAGCTTAAATATAAGAAAGTGGTTATTCGCACGGTATACCATGCCAATTAGCTCTTATGAGTCTTATTCGCACGGTAGACCTAGCCAATCAGCATTTGACGTTTCATGACGTCTAATCTAACCCTGCCAATAAGTTCTTATTCCCAATTAGCACGGTACATCGTAAATAAACAATATTTAACACGGTATCGTCTCAAAAGACCTAAATATTTTAAGAGAAACTTACTTAATTTGTTACGGAATACCTAATCGAACCGAAATACCTTTTCAGATATCATACAAACATTGTCTACCGTGCAAATAGTAAATAATACATAATTCGCACGGTAGACGTAGCCAATCAGCATCGAAAACACTCCCACACATTGGAAAAGGTAAAAAAGGCAGTGAAGAATGTACATCAATCTTATTTTCCAGTACATATATTCGGTGGCGGATCCAGATTTATTATGGTAGAGAGGGATTAGGAGAGACTTTTAGAGATGTGCGAGTCTACAGGTGGGCTAAGTGCAGCACGACTGCAGCCCACAAAATTAAA